ACAATACCATTAAAAACACTTAGATGATTAGACACTTTTGTATGTTCATCCATACGTAAGTTATGAAACTGCTCATTCAACAATAACCGATTTGATATATACCCTTTTCTTGATATAAATCTTCAAGTTTCTCCCTAAGCACTTTGACTAATGACGTACCAAAAACATTCGCGAGAATATTCTTAGCCAAAGACATGCATATTGTACTTGAAGCTCTCAAATCTAGTTCCTCCCGGTTCTCCTTGTCCATGTTGAAAATGTTTCCTTTCAACGCCTTGTGTAATCATAATTGTATCAAAACATCTTTAACTTGAATTTTTCACAAGTCAAAATTGATTCTTCCATCAAATTTCTCTAAGTTAATCTTCACTGCACTTGAAAAACTTAACATTACAGCCAAAATCTTTTCGACAGTAAAACAAAAAATACTTATGATTGATACATCTTATAATAAATAATTTAAATCTTATATATAACTTTGAACTTTTTCTTTTTTCACAAAATTAAACGATGTGAAACTTAGAAAAACATAAATTCTTGATTTTCTATTTCTTTCACAAAATTAAATAATGTAAACTTCTTTAATATATATATATTTTCAATCAACTCAACACCCAACTATAGTCACACCATGAGTATAACTAACTCAGCCAACTTCAAATTAACTTTTAAACTCCTATTTACAACCCGATTGAACTAATATAACTAAGTAATTGTTTTTTTTTATAAACACTAAGTAATTGTTCTTGATGTAACGTGGATATCCTTCAAATGAATCAACAATAATACAAATAGACGGTTAATCTAAAGAATTTAAGAACTTGTGATCGAAAAAAAGTATATAATTATATGTAGGTAGACATTGTTGTAATATAAATGTAAGTTAAAAGTTCCGTTTTATTTAAAAAAATAAAGTTTTGATTAATGTAGTTCATCTCATCACTCTCAACAATAGTTAGAATAGTAATATGTGGCAATTAGAAGCATTAAATGAGACACATGTGTCCTTTTCTTTCCCGTTATTTAGATTCCAATTTCCCTACCTGCCATGCCCACTTGAATGGCAGGTGAAGAAAGAACAATGCTTTGTAGTTGTAGACGTAAAGCAAAGTGTTGCCGACATAGATGGAGTTGGAACAAAAATAAAACACATTGATACACATACTTTTTTATAAATTAAAATTGTATATATGATGAATAAATATTATAAATATGACAAACTAGAAAATCAATATTGTTGTGTATTAATTTATTATAGTTACACCACGAGTAACATTTTGAGTGTTTGATGAGTTAAATAACTTTATTTATACAATATTTTATGATTCAATTTTTACATTATTAAGTCATCTTTTAATTTGGCTACATCAAATATTTTATCATTAATTTATTTATTATAATTAAACTACAAGTTGCACATACAAATATTTTTTTTATTACAACAAGAAAAAAAATTAAGTTTAACATCAACTGCAAGAGCGTATCTCAGTTGCACAAGGAAGAGAAATCTGAATTAGAAGATCTTTATTATTTGATACGACTAATTTTACTATGAAATTTACACTTTAATTTCTTTCTTAGAGCATGTGGTTAACTCTAAAAAGAGTATTTTCAAGCAATAATGTTGAATACTTTGGATCAATACTATATGTTTAAAACACTTGTCCAACGTTCTCATACCTTTTACTAGTGATAGTCCTTTTGAATGATCCAAGGTTCAATGTGGAGAAAATATGAGAATTAGTCCGTGAGACATTTAGTGAGAAAAGAAAGAGAAAATGATTAAAAAAATAATGATTTATATTATTGAATTATATAAATAATGATATAGATTAAGACTATTTATATACAATTCTAATTAAGTTTAGTTCTATATAATTTAAATTATATTTAAATATTAAATCTAATCAAATTAAATCAAATCAAATATTTTAACAAATCTAATTTAATATTTCAACACAATCTCATAATTCAAGTTGTCGAACATCTTAAAAAATAGTCAATCTGAACTATTCCTAATTTCGTTCTCAAATTCAGGAATTTGTCGATCTTCAATCATTTGGTGAAAATATCGGTCAACTGTGCTTCACTCGAGCAACGTCTTACTTCAAGTTCACCTAAATTTACCTTTTTCCTCAAGAAGTGAAACCTTGCTTCAATATGTTTACTTCTTTCATGCAGATCTAAATTCTTCGCCAGATTTATGGCTGACTTGTTGTCGATTTGTAATACAAGAGGTTTATTCACTCCGATCTTCATTTCTTCAAGTACAGGTCTTATCCAAATTGCTTGACATGCAACATAATATCCTGCTATATATTCAGCTTCACAATATGATAATGCCACCACATGTTGTTTCTTCGAACACCATGAGATTGAGGCACCAAATATTTGAAAGAAATATCCAGTTGTGCTTCTTCGATCTTCCTTATCTCCACACCAATCAGCATCTGAAAAACAATAAACTATTGCTTCTTTGTCTTCAGAATTTCGTCGAAATAGTATTCCATTGTTTATCAAACCCTTCAAATATCTCAATATTCTTCTTGCAGCCTTCATATGTGACACCCTTGGTTCACTCATATATCTGCTTACTAATCCTACAACAGAACCTACATCAAGTCAACTGTTGCACCATACCTCATAAATCCCACAATTTACTAGAACAAAGTTACATCGACTTTGTCTTCCTCTATATTCTTCTCCAATTTTACATTTGATTCGACAGGTGTGGATGCGGGATTTGAATCACTCATTCTGAATCTCTTGAGTATTTCTTTGACATACTTCCTTTGATGTAGCACCATAACTTGCTTTGACATTTGAAATTCCATACCTGAACATAGACACCATACTCATATTTGCATTTGACAAATCCCAATTCGACTAAGTATGGATCGATCTTCTTGTTCCATGCCCTAGGTGCTTGCTTGAGGCCGTAAAGCGCTTTATGAAACTTATATACTTTACTCGCTTCCTTCTGAATCACAAATTATGGAGGTTGTGTTACATAGACCTCTTCGTTTAAAGGACCATTCAGAAATATTGATTTCACATCTAAATAAAATGTCGACCAACCTTGGTTGCATGCCAATGCTACCACTAGTTGAACAGTCTCCAATGTTGCTACTGGAGCAAATACTTCAGAGTAGTCGAGTCCTTCTCTTTGAAGAAATCCTCGAGCTACCAATCTTGCTTTATGTCTTACTATCGAGCCATCAACATTATGTTTCAACTTGAATACCCACTTTATTACGATAGCTTTTGTATATGCTTGCAATTTGACTAACTCTCATGTGTTGTTTCTTTCTATTTTCTTTAACTCTTCGACCATAGCTAACTTCCACTGTTTAATCTTTAAAGCTTTGCTATAGTTAATTGGTTCAGCACCTGCAAGTAAAGCAAAATGAACTAATTCTCCATCTGGTGTGACTTCATCATCACACACCACTTCATAATCATGAAGTCTTGTTGGAATAACTCTATTTCTTTGAGGTTTTTGGCTTGTTTTAGAAGCAGCCTCTTTGACTCGATTGTGTCAGGAATTCCAGCAACTGCTTCTTCTTCGACTTTGACTGAATTCTCAATAATTCCTTCGACCTCTACTTCATCAGTTTCTTCATCGACATCAGAACTCATCAATGGCTTGTTAATTGAATTGCTAGAACTCCAATCCCAAGCAGAATTTTCATTAATCACAATATCTCGACTCAACACAATCTTCTTATTAACTAGATTAAATAGTCTGTATGCACCCGTTTTATGATATCCTACCAGAATCATAGGTTCACTCTTGTCATCAAGCTTTCTTCTTCTTGCATCAAGAACATACTTGTAAAACATAGAGCCAGACACCTTCAAATGACTCACTGATGGTCGTTTGCCACTCCATACTTATTCAGGAACTTTGTTCTTCAATATCTTGGTAGGACATTTATTCAAAATATAAATTGCAGTCGAAACAGCTTCTCCCCATACAGACTTTGGAAAATTCTTTTGCTTCAGCATGCATCTCGCCATATCTAATATGGTTATGTTTCTTCTTTCAGTAATTTCATTATGTTGAGGTGTATAAAGAGCAGTTACCTCATGATCAACACTATGTTCTGCACAAAAATCTTCAAACCTTTTGGATGTATATTCGCCACCTCCATCTGTTTCGCAGAACTTTAATCTTCTTCTCACTTGGTTTTCAACAAGTATCTTGAATCTCTTAAAGATTTTGAATACTTCGTCCTTTTGTTTGATCACATAGATCCACAACTTTCGACAAAATTCATCGACAAACGAAACAAAATATCTATTTCCACCAACTATATATTCTTCGAATAAACCACATTCATCTGAATATACCAAATCACTACTCTTATTCAAAAAAATCTCTTAGAAACAAAAATATCTAAAAGATAGTAATGATATTACTATACTTATCTCTTATATAAAAGTCCTATCCAACTTATTCATTGAAAGTGTTTAGATGATACACTCTAATAATAATAAAAAAATTTAAAAATTTAAAAATTATTTGATCAAAATTTATTTTTTAAATAAAAATGTACAAAGAATTGTGAAAATGATAAAAATATATGAAGGATTTTGTCTAAATTAAGTTTACAAAATTTCAAATAACACCCAAAAATATAAAATATAAAATTCCTCTTTCATTCTATACAATAAGAATATCAAATTAATTATTATCAATCTATCAAATTTTACAAACTAGTTCTCATAATTTATAAAAATTTCAAATCGATCCTCGGTTTTTCATAAAATTGAAAACTAATTTTTAATAAATTTCAAATTTTACAAACATTTTTTTTAATTTTTTTTTTAAAGTTATTCTCTATTTTTCAAAATATAAATTTAACTAAAATTTATAAAAATATTGATAAGAATGTAATAATAAACAATGTATCGAAATAAGAGAATAGAAAAGAAGAGTAGGTAGTTTGTTGAGTCTTCCCTTCCATTCGGTTAGTTTGTTAGTTAGAGTTGTGAAGATGCCTACAGAGGATGAAGAGATCGGAAACGCAACCGGCGCCGCCGTGCCTATCCTACCTACAACTTCGAGCAACGCTAGACGACCGACACGAAGAGCAGATCCTTTCCTCATAGTCTGTAGGTGTTTCAGTCTGATTACCGCCATAGCTGTAATTCTCTGCATCGCCGTCAATGTCCTCTCTGCTATTCGCTCATTCCGAAACCCTAACTCTGTAACTAACTATCTAGATTTCTATCTATTTTCCTCTTCTTTCTGTTGTTTATCAATTTTGATTTTTATCTTTTGTTTTTCTGTTTTAGATTTTCGATGGTATATTTCGTTGTTACGCTGTTATCATTGCGGTTTTTGTGGCTCTCGCTGAGACTGAATGTAGCTTCATTTTTAAGTTCTGGCAGGTTCATTACTTTTCTTTATTTCGTTTGCTATGATGTGTGAAGCACAAGACATCTCTGAATCTCTGAAAAAAAGGCGTGTCTGATATCGGCACAGACACTTGTGATTACGTTCAAATTATTTATTTATTCAAATTATTACCGGTGTTGCCGCAGTGTCGTGTTCGAGGTGTCTGTGCTTAATAAATGGCTGTTTCCACTGAATTTGATTATTGTTTTGATTTTCTATATCATTACACGATTTGTTGCCTTTTCAGATTCTGGAGTATTGGGCAGCCAGAGGTATGCTGCAGATATTGTACGTTTTCCCTTTCTTAAATGCTTTTTCTATCTATTTACTGCATGGTTAGTTATGCTATGACGAATTTCTAGTGGTTTATCATGATTTTTTGAAATTGATTTTACTTTATCTTTGGATTCTTAAAGTAAAAGTGAGTTCAAAACCAATTTTATACCCTTCAGAATCATTTCTGGTTGTTCCAAACGTGAAACCAAACATGGTCCCTTGTTTATGAATTCTTAATTGCCTACAATTTCATGTAACATAATTAGTAGAGTTCGTTGGTAGTTTTGAGTTTTTAGACAAAATAAATTCCAAATTTATATTTACTTTAAAATAGTTAAGTATAAAAATGGTACTGTAGACAAAATAATTGTTGTGTGTTTTGATTTGAGTTTGATAATCTTGATTTTCAAAGGAATTAGTTTGTTTAAATTTGTGTTTTAACGGAAATCATCTCCGTTCTGTGTTTTTATTCTGAAAGCAACTCTGATATTTGTGTTCAAGTATCACTATTTCTCCAATAGTTCATAAATTAGAGACTTTAATACTTCTAGTTAGTGTCAGTTTTTGAACTCAATTTTGAGGTTTGGAGCCATTATATGCACATAACCACACATCCCTTTTTATTAAGATCATATATGACAGATATGAAAGCAATTTCTAGAGTTCACATTGATAAATCAAACACACACCTAGAATATTTGGGTTTAAGACGGAGAATTGCATGATATTTCTATTTACACGATGCTGCATATAAACATTAATTGTAGTTTGGTTTTTCTTTTCTTCAGCGTGGCAGTGATGACCAGGGCTTTCCCTGACTATAATGGGGAGCGAAAAGATCTTGTTATTCTTCAAAACATTGCATGCTATTTGCTTATTTCTTGTGGCCTAGTTTACGTTGTCTCGGTAAGATTATTAAGAAGTGCAAATTGTAGTCCCAATTCAAAAGTTTTTCCATTGTGCCTATTTTTCCCCCAAACCTTGATTTGATAATACCACCAGTCAAACTGTTAAAGATGGTCTAAATGGCAACTTCAAAACAATAAAGATGTTCGTACTTCAATGTGCAAACTATATTTTAAAGAATTTCTTTATTGCATATATTGAAAAATTCTTTCTGTTTTGCTTCTATTACCATTTGAAGGGAATCCTTTGCGTCGGTTTTCTTAAACGCCATCTCCAGAAGAAGGAGATCACTAGAGAGCAAGCAGCCAAGGATCTTGAGGTAATATGCTTACATTAAGATGTTATAATTTATTATTGATCGCATTCCATATGCACATGTCTGCAGTTCTCTGTCTCCCTTGGTTCCAATGACATAATATTGCACCAATTGCAACACTACTATGCTTGTTTATGTATTTGTTCTTAAGTGACACAGTTCATACTATTTTATCTCAGTAACTTTTATCTCAGTTAATCCAATAAATTTTTCTTTAAAAAAGTTACATTGAAAGTTTACTTGCTCCTATGGACACTTGACAGGAGTTGGAACGGCGTAGAGAAGAACTTGAATCACTGCTTGTGACAGAATAGGTTCGAAGGTTTGAAAGTAGAGGCTGCTTGTGGCAGAACAGGTTTGAAGGTTTGAAAGTAATGCTGTAATTGTCTAATTACATGATGAAGACTGAAGAGACCACTGAAGCAAACTTGACCTATGAATGTTTTATGTTAGTTTTGGTTGCCATATTGTTTGTTCATTCTACGAAACAAATAAGTTACATTCTTTTAGGTGCATAATTGACCTATTTTGTGTAAAAATGTAAAGGCAATATTTGATAGTGTTTCAACTTTCGATTCATGTGGAAATGGAGTTAACATCATGGCTGCCTATAGCTCTTTTACCACCTGACTATTTTAATGAGAAATGCACAATTATCCAATCAAATTACTTCCTCATTTTCAAATTATATTATCTTACTTTAACACATATTTTGGTCTTTCAGCACCAACACTCAACTTCATCATTTTCATTTTTATTCTAGAATCAACACAAGAGTTATATTGATGATAAAGCATCCAAAGTTACAATACTGGATGAGAATCATACAATCTCCTTCCACTTCAATCTTGCTAAAACCACACTCTTCAGCAATATTAATTGCATATCATGGCTTTTTTGACTCGACCTCCAAGGGATATGGAATCCCATCTTCTTTCCAAGTCCCTGCTGCTATCACCTTTGTTGATAGATTTGCGTCACACTTCACCTTAAGTCCTTAATTATGTCTCTACAAGTTTAATTCATCTCCTATTGGTTTGAAATATATTTCTGTTGGCCACATCCTGCTTCTTTCACAATATTAGTTTGAATGCATGGCTTGTTTTGGGGTTAATTATCAACAGAGTCTTTGAAAATTCCAGAAGGTTGGTTCAAGTTTTGAAATTCAGAGACAGTGTTTCTTAACCATCATAATCAGATCATGGGAAGATGTGTCTTTTTCTTCAAAAACATGCACATTATTGTAGTAGCAAATAAAGTAGATATTAGAAGCCACATGCTTTATATAGGATGTTCTAATCTTAAAATTTAGCTTTTAATTAAAACACTTAAAATTTTAAAATTTTCTAATTTGCTATATGTTCTTTAATTTGTAGTATATTTATGTGAATTTTTTTTTTGAATAATCAGGTATTAAAAAAAAATTTCGCAAAAAATCACGTTTCGGAAAAAATTACGCAAATAACCATGTTTTAGATGACTCTCCAAAGGAGGAGCCATCTCACTTGGCGCCTCCACTTAGGGTTTTGCCCTAGGCGCCATTTCACTTGGCGCCTCCTCTCTCTTTTAGCCAAGTGAGATGGCGCATGCACTTTAAAAGTGAGAGGAGGCGCCATCTCACTTGGCTCCTAGGGCAAAACTAGGGCAAAATGCTGTTTTATAAATAATTCGTCCGTTTCTCCGTCATTTCTCACACTTTTTTGCACTGTTTTTTTTATTTTTTACTCTGTTATTTGCGTCATGACGTCGCCTATGATTTTTACCAGAGATGGTTATGTTATCTTCTCCGCCACGAAACCTGCGATGAAAATGAAATTCTGGCACATTCACTTCATGGAGCGTCTGAAGCGGGAGTTGATGTGATGGCTAGATAGAGACATTGCGGAGGGGGAAAAAATTCGAAGAATCCAGCGAAGAGGAACAACAACCTCACATGCGATAGGAAGACCTAATGTATGGTTGGAGGAAGTCAAAACAGACAGCAACGTAATGTTGATGATGCATGGGTCAGATGAAATTGTTTTAACAGTTGTAATTTTGTAGACGGAATATCGTGTTTTTTTTCTTGTGCACGCAATATTTATTGTATCAAATACTGTTAACGAAAAACCATAATGTTTACAACATAATTAAGGAAAGATTTTATGTATTACAATTTTTATGTGGTCGAGGCAGACGTCCGATTCGGACAATTTTTGCGATTGTGTTTGACCTGACGGTTTAAACCACACTTTCTTTCCAGCTTGTCAAGTTCGTACATTTCGGTTGTGATGCACTTACTTTTGGAACGACCTTTCTTGTTCCTTCGCATTTGGTCATTGTGCCACACTATTTCACCGTCGTATGTAGGCCAATAATATGGTTTTGCTACCAAAGAAAAGCCGTTGTTGTAAACGTTGAGCAACGTTTCAGATTTGTAAATGTGTGACAGAAGTTGTAGCGCGTCTTAATGGGTATAAGCACAAGCGGCAATGACATGAGAGCAAGGCATACGAAAGGCTTGAAACTTGCCACAATCGCACCAACGAGAAGGTAGTATTACCTTATATTCCTGTCTTGGCAGACCTTCGTTTGGTCGATTGTCTCTTTCACAATGAAGTTATGGCTGTGTCGGTTAAACCGTATAACCATATAAGTGTTGGCTTTGGCACTTTCTGCCTTAATGTATTTCATGCAGCTTTCACTCCATAGTTGTTCAGATTGCAACACCGTATTCCACATTTCACCTCTTTTGGCAAACAACGCAGTCATCCTAAAATACGTAGATTTTACCAAAGCAGTGATCGGGAGGTTTCATATGCCTTTGAATATCCCATTTATCGATTCAATAAGATTCGTTGTCATGTGTCTCCATCTTTGGCCATTATCATATGACCTAGTTCATTTTTTCACCAGAATATTGTCGATCCACCTATCGGCTTCCAGATTTGACAAACGGATCTAGTTGCGGTAATATTTGAATGTGGGTTGTGTCAATGCATATTCCGCATTTATAATCGATTTCCTTAGTGTTTTGTCCTTGATCTCCCTCGTGAAATTCTAGACGATATGCCTAACGCAATAGACATGTGTAGAAGGAGGATCATGCCAACCGTTTGCAGGATTATTATAGGCACTTTCAATGGAGGCATGTCTGTCCGAGATCAAACAGAGATCTAGTTGAGGAGCCACGTGTGTTCGCAGGTTTTACAGAAAAAAGCTTCAAGCACCACCGGTCTCCCCCTCGACTAGGGAAAAGGCAATTGGGAAAATGTTGTTGTTGCCATCTTGTGCAACTGCCATCAGTAACGTGCCTTTGTATTTCCCATACAACCAAGTCCCATCAATTTGTATAATTGGTTTGCATGATGCAAACCCTGTGATGCAAGGTTGAAATGCCCAAAACACTCGACTGAATATTCCGTTTCTGTTTAGTTGACTACCATCTTGGGCGTATGCTGGCACTGTTTCCAGAACGTAAACAGTACCCGGAGAATAAGTCTTGAGTGCATTCAGGTAGCGAGGAAGTTCTTGGTATGACTTCTCTCAGTTTCCGTACACCTTTTCAATCGCCTTAGTCTTTGCTAACCACGCCTTACGGTAAGACGAAGTATAGTTAAAAATCGTGGTGATGTGGGAGATGATGGTTTTCACCTTCAAAGATGGGTCGTTGCTGACTAGTAGTAGGATTTCTTGACAGATGAGATCGTAATTAAGTTTTCGGTGGTCCTGTGATTGGGTAGAACTTACACAAGTGTGGGTAGTCATGGAACCTATGACCCAACAATCATCTCTTAATCTGTATGATGCAGTGAGCTTGAACATACAGTCAGGGTAGACACACTTGATCTTGTACCTTTCTGGGTTGACACGGTCCACCTTAAAATCGACCGAGTTGAGCATGTGAAATTTTTTTATGGCTCTGATGCATTTCTCTCTGTTACAAAACTTGTTCTTCTCTTTTAATTTTTCATCCGACTGCATATACGGATTGAAAAATAAATCAGTAGACGGTTCATCTCCGTCCATGTTGAAGTTTGTCATGTGCAGAGGTGGTGTGTAGATCTCATTTGCAGGAATACTAGGTATGCCATCATCGTCGGAATCATCATTCACCATTTCATCAAACTCTAACTCGTCATCTTCTTCTTCTTCGTCAACTGCATCTACCTCTGCTTGTTCGTTCTCCAAAGGATCAACCACTTGTGTCACCTGAGGCTCTCGCAGCATAATGTACAACTCAATAGAGTCGTACCCATAATACACATGGCTGGAAAATATATTCTGAAGATCCTCATCATCTTGAACCTCAGCCTTATAAAATATTATTTGGTTGTTTCCAAAAAAAACTGGATTCTGATAAAATATTTGTGTCACCGGGCCTCATTCAAGTTTGGCCTCCAATCGTTTTTTGAAGTACGAGAAATTGGCTTTCCCATTTAAAAAAAATCGGATGTTGTCTGTGTCTCTAAACAAAAACCCAGAGGTGGGACAAATGTATGTCTCTCTGTTGAAATGTGCATTGATGACATATTGGGGTACAGAGGCCATTGCGTAGGGTTGTTTGAAGGTTTGAAGGTTTGAAGGTTGGAATGTTTGAAGTGTATGAGTTATAAGAATGTTTGTATGTTTGATTGTTTGAAGGTTTGAAGGTTTGATTGTATGAAGGTTTGAAGGTTTGAAGGTTGGAATGTTTGAAGTGTATGAGTTATAAGAAGGTTTGTATGTTTGATTGTTTGAAGGTTTGAAGGTTTGATTGTATGAAGTTTTGAAGGTTGGAAGGTTTGAAGGTTGGAATGTTTGAAGTTTATGAGTTATTCGAAGGTTTGTATGTTTGATTGTTTGAAGGTTTGAAGGTTTGATTGTATGAAGGTTTGAAGGTTGGAAGGCTTGACAGATTAAGTGAATCAGTGTTTTGATAAATGTAAGACTAAATAGGTCATATACTGAATTTGAATTAAGTAAGGATGTAACCCCCAAGGCTGCCACCTAGCCTGCGCCTACTCTGCACCTACACTGTAACTTGTAAGTCTCCTCCCATCACCTCCAATAGTGTTACATGCATTTAGGCATGGCATCCCCAAGGCTGTCACCTAGCCTGCGCCTACTCTGCAACCCATCACGCCTCTTATTCGCCAATGGGGATAGAGACATCTTTCATTTTTGTACTCTCGTCAAGTTCAATGGCGCCTCCCTTAATGTCCAATCGTGTTACATGCACGCAGAGATGCCTTCTCCAAGGATGCCACCTAGCATGCGCCTACTCTGCACCTACACTGTTACTTGTAAGTTTCCTCCCATCACCTCCAATAGTGTTACATGCATTCAGGCATGG